ACTGTTCAAAAAGACCAAGCGATTTCCCTGGTCATTGCTGCTGATCCTGAGCTATGTGGTGGTCTGTGTGACCTCCTTGGAATAGGCTGTACGAATTATTTCGGAGATGGCGTTATCAGTTCCAGTGTTCATTATCATGTAAGTTCTTCCCTTCTCTTTCACGGCTAGTGGCGATTCGATATGTAAACATTGCGCAATCATATCTGAAAATGCCATTCGACACCGGCGATAGTCTAGAATAGACCATCCCGCTCCATTCGCTGTCGCGATAACACCGTTCCTATCAGCTTTCTTCCGTTAGCGCTCGACTCTGATCTTGAGCAAGGGATATATGATTTGTGCCTCAACCGCTTTACTGATCTCTTCATCAAATAATCTTGGCTGATTTATCTAGTGATACCGTTCTTTCTACGCGTGCTTTAATTGACTGCCCATTCAAAAAATGTGCTCCTGAACGATAAAATGGTGTTGCGATTTAAACGATAAATGAGTCGTCATTACTCCTCCTGTGAGATCAAATGCGGTCCTTACCTCACATCTCGAATATATTGTGACGTACGGTAGACGCTGCTTAGAGCAGCCGTTCAGTGCGTTTCCTTTGCTTCTCAATGAATAGTTTTATACCGGCCTCATACAACATGACGGCAAAATTACTGGTGCATATAAAAATTTCGGTTTTTTTTTATCTCACTGTAGAGTTTCTCGTTCCATCCCTTCATGCTAACCTACAAGGGGGTCTTTCAGGGCAAGCCGCGCTTTTTCAAAACGGTTTCATATTGTAGGGACGCATGTATGGACCACAAAACCATGTTTCGTTTTCGCTGAACGGTTTTAGTAGTACCAAAAAAGTGGTGAATAATACTCTTGATGGTTCAATCCCCCGCGGCGACTAAATTTTGCAATCAAGGTTGGCGGCCACTTGTTGGCTTCAAAATGGTCCTGACGATGAATTTGACATCTGATTTTGATATTTAGATTTGGCACCAAACCGTAGGCGCCAACCCAAATGCAAAATTTAGTCGCCACGGGGATCGAACCATTAACAGTACCTTCTTTTTTGGTACTGCTAAAACCGTTCAGCGAAAATGAAACATGGTTTTGTGTTCCCTACATGCGTATCTACAATCTATCTACTGTATGCAAGAATCAGTTTTGAAAAGCGTGTCGTACCCTGGGAGACCACGGTTGTGAGTTAAAGGAATCTTGCGCGGAAAAATCATGATTCTATTTCAGCCATAAATCACTGGCTTGAGACTCATTATCCACGATAATAGTGAAAAGAACTGAAGTATTGCTTTCGTTTTGATTAGAAATTCGAAAACTCGAAAAGGCTGCTACGCGTTCGAATTGCCCACGGACGTCTTTCACGAATGCTGGCGACGGGGATGCTCAAACTTGGTTCTTGGAGTGCATTCACTAGAAGCTCTTTCTGGCCTTCTGCTTCGTTGCATTCACATCTTACACTTCTACTCCATCCTATTCCATCGATCGATTTGTCTCCACTCTCCGAAATCGCGCGCTTTAACCCGATTCTCTCATTGCGTCGCCTGGTACGTAGCCGGCCAAACGCCGTCTTCTTTCCATGCCTCGCCTGGCTCTGCCTCCTGGTCCTTCGATGGTCCATAACGTGTAGTTTTTGTACGTTTGTTTCTCTTCAGAAACCGAATCTTCATGCGTGAAACTTTGTGTGCTATTTCCAGTGATCACAACTGACATATTCATGTTAGGAAAGAGTGCAAGAATTTTCCGCGCAAGATTCCTTTAAGGATGCTGCCAAGACGCTCTGTGAACTGCAGTAATCACTCCAACAGAGCGCCATGCGAACGCGTTCTCATCGGTTTCTCATCGTTTCGAACAAAGCTCGAAGAGCACTCATGCTCACATTTGTTGAACCATGAGCGTGTCTTAACGTTGGAGTACGAACGTTGTCATCAAAGGCTTCGCTTCAGCGCGCTGACCGAAAGTTATCCAAGATATGCTGTGCGAGCAGATCCCTCGACTTCATCGGCTACAACGAATAGCTCTTCAGTCAGTTCTCCGGATCAGGCCGGTATATTTTGTATGGGCTGCCTTGAAGAGCAAAGTCTGCCCTATTGAACGTACAAATTTCATATCCTCTCATAAGGGCGCTTTTGAAATCGTGGGACAAAATGGATGGGAAATACCGTACTGCGTGCGTTATGCGATATTTTTGCCAAGGGTCTGAAGAACTGTGTGGAAGCTATGTAGAGGCGATCATTGAAAAAAGTCGACATGTTTTAGGTGGTCACTTTTCTACTTCGAGAGTAATATTCTCGGTTGATGATTTCTATTTGTCTCTAAATGCGGCGCTATGTCTTCGTCCTTTTTTTCTGGTTTTCTTGGTAAAGTTCCGAATGCAGAGTAGACAGTATTTCAAGTAGTTCGGTTCTAGATAAGCTTACTGCATTGCACTTCGATAAAAAAACACGAGAAGGGTTTCGACAGGAACAGCCCCTGATTCAAACAACCTGAGGAGTAGTCCTAGCCGTTTAGTTATGTTCCATGGGTAAGTCTAAAATAGCGGGATCATCTGAATGACCCCGATAGACTTACACATGGTTCATAACTAGTAGCTGTCTGGTGAAAACTTCCTTCTTTTTCTTACGTTTTTAGGGGATTGTTCAGTGATATGATAGCGGCTTGTTATCGCCAGGTGAACGAAGCAACACGTCAATCAGCACTGTTTTGCTTGAAAGTTATTCCTTTCTTCTTTATTGATCAATACATTCGGCTTAATTCATAGTTCTTTTTGTTTCCTCTAAGCAACCTCGAGGGTCAAGGCGAGATCATTAACGGGAACTCATGATCTATGGCTCATGGGTCGAATTTACTCACCAGGATAGCCTTTCAGGGCGTGCTAATCTTTTTGAAACAGTCTTTTGCGGGAACCACAGAACCATGGTTAATTTTTCCTGAACGGCCCTCTGAATACCAGAAAAGGGGGTCCCTAGTCACACCTTTTTCACCAGTTTTTCAATCAAAGTCTATTTGTAAGGGTTACTGACGGTCCTAATCATGAATACTAATTATTCATGCTAACTCCATTTTGCGCGAATTTTGAAACGTCAACTCGAAATGCAAAAATTTGTCACCACGAGGAATCGAACTAGGGACCCCTTTTCTGGTATTCAGAGGGCCGTTCAGGAAAAATTAACCATGGTTCTGTGGTTCCCGCATGTGCCCCTATATCATGCAAAAGACCGTTTTCAAAAAGCTTGGCACGCCCTGAAAGACCTTCCTGGTCAGGGCAATCGTTCCAATCAGCACTCTTACGGGAGAGCAATACTGTATGTCGAGATTGGCGAGCTGCAGAGGAGTGGTAGCGTCCTTTTAATCCCTCCATTCTTTCAAGAGAAGGAATGAGAATTGCGAATCCATGGCTTTCTTCATTTTTCCTTTTGGTGGTGATTCACTCCAAACTATTCTTCCACTCACAAGGGAGGTCTTTCAGGGCAAGGTGCGCTTTTTGGAAACGGTTTAGTACATGTTGTAGGGACGCATGTATGGACCACAAAACCATGTTTCGTTTTCGCTGAACGGTTTTAGTAGTACCAAAAAAGTGGTGAATAATACTCTTGATGGTTCAATCCCCCGCGGCGACTAAATTTTGCAATCAAGGTTGGCGGCCACTTGTTGGCTTCAAAATGGTCCTGACGATGAATTTGACATCTGATTTTGATATTTAGCGCGATTTGGCACCAAACCGTAGGCGCCAACCCAAATGCAAAATTTAGTCGCCACGGGGGATCGAACCCTTAACAGTACCTTATGCTTCTTTTTTGGTACTGCTATAACCGTTCAGCGAAAATGAAACATGGTTTTGCGTTCCCTACATGCGTCCCTACAATATGCACAAAACCGTTTTGAAAAAGCGCACCTTGCCCTGAAAGACCTCCCTTGTCAGTGCATGGGTACCGCGTCTGGGTGATCGCGGAGGGTGCCTTCAAGTGGTTTGAGGGTATACGTAATCTGGACTATAACAGAAACATGTGGTTTTATTCCTACTACACGGACATCACTGCAGTGAAACGTCGAGCACAATGCTAGAAAGTGGAGCCTCGACTGAAAGTGAACGTTTGGTCTACCCCCGGCTCCATGTGATTAGCAGCAGGCTCTGCTTAGCAAGCTTGTGTAGCGGCATGCGGCTTCCTGCCCATGGAAGGTTAAGCAGAGCTCCGAGATTCATATGGTAGAGCTTTCTTTCAGAGTTCTTGATGGACGGTTGAATGCAACTTTCATCTCATCGTGTGCTCGACAAGGTTCAGTGGCAGCTTTATTTTCTCAAGAGGCAAAGCCAAACTAATGGTACATGTCAGCCATTTTATATGGCGGAAACCAAAACATTGCAACGTTAAAAGCATTCCAATGCAAAAGTTAAGCATAAGATCCACTATCTTAGAGAATGATCGCGTAGGCGCGTCGCAATTTCTTGCGACACTCCCGGGCCATCAAAAAACAACCGAAAAGGAGCAATTGAGTAAGCGAACAAAATCAAAAAAAAACGACCGAAAAGGAGCAATTGAGTAAGTGAACAAAAGCATTTGCAAAAACCAATGAATCGCACCAAAATCTACGAACTGCTTCTCCTTCTCGACCATGCATTCGGATATCAGAAATCGATCGGCAGTGTCCTTTGTCTTTGTACGCTTCCACATCGATCCACAAACGGCCAATCGCAGAGTATCGAGAATATGTGAGGAGTGCCGAAAGAAGCGGCAGAATACCGAACGTTAGAATTCAGACTGGCGACATGACGTATTGACTTCAGTGTAGTGAATATCGGGATCGGAAGGGTCGACGGGACATCTGGGAACACTGATGCGGTCGAGAGATGGTCAGTCGAGGGAGGAGACGGCAGGAAGAAGAGCAGCAGGGAATACGTTGACAGACAATACCAGCGGCCACTGAGGAGAATGCGTCAGCATGAGTGGCTGATTGCATACACAATCAGTTCACTCATCGCTGCCGTGTGAGAAAGTTCAGAACTTTCTTCTTTTAAATGAGGTCGACGCAGCAGGGGCTTTCCTGGGACAGAGCAATACATTATGGTCTCCTTGGCAGAACACACAGTGAATTCCGCAGTCGTCTGAATGACGCGGTTGCAGGCACTTGTTACAGAGGCGTAAATTAGCAGCCTGCACAGCCCGCGACACAGCATCAGGGAATCGACAGCATCTACCGGTTGGGTGATTATCCTTATTGTCTTCCACAGGACAGAATAGACAGCTAGATTTAGGCTTAGTCCTTTCAATTAGTAGCTCGAGTTTGTTGTTGACATTTTCGGACTGACGATTAAGGATATCAACCAGGGCGTCCAGTTTTGCATTAAAGGTCATAGTGAACAGATTGAATTGTTCTTTGAGGTCCTTGATCGCATCCGATAGGGGCTCAATATGAAGAGCTACGTCAACGATGTCCATCGTACAAAGGCGGGTGAACTGTATGAGGACGTCCGAGAGGAATGGACGTGGCTTTGTTTTGATCTAAGCCTGATGTTGTGTTTGACGCGCCTTGAACGCTGTCGGGTTGGAGATAATGGAAGGGCAAACGTTTTTTCACTTGGAATGGTGGGAAAGGGGTGTTCATTTGTCTTTTTTTTTGAAACTAAATCGACTAGCTCAGGAAACTATGTGAATATGTGGCTAAACCGCAAAGCGTAATGGATTGATTGTGCTGCCTAAGTTCTATTAGCAAGTGTTCCCCTTACGGAGGATGCAAGCCGTCCGATGAAGTCAAGGAGCTTTGACACCGAGCAGATGACGACTTTGGTTAAAAGAATCAGACACTTAACGGCTAACTGTATAAGGAGAAGGATCATTGTAGGACCGAAAATGTATGTGCCAACTCCTATTACAGCAAATGTTCCAAAGACAGCAACTGCCGTTTTCCAATGCGTTCGAATCGTCAGTATAATTGGGTTGAAGTCCGGAAGCTTCCAACCTGAAAGCCAGGAATCTGATCTTTTCCAATTTAGTTGATGGGATTCGAAAATGTCCTCGTCGTCAGTGTGCGGTAAGTATGTTAACGTGCCCTGTAACAGTATGGGATGTTCCGTGCATTCGCTGCGACATTCGTGGTGCACAACAGCATATCGAAAGTCGAGCCAAATTCTTGTTTCTGCCGTGTCAGCGTTGCATTCTACAGGGAAAGCATGTTCTTCGCATTGAATAACTACCCAAGTTGGTATGTCGGTTCTGCAGGATACATTGACGGAAGCCCCTTCCTGACAGCTGTAGCAACCGATTATTTCCGTCAGGTGGATGCTACAATTTTGTTTGACCACGTATTCGGCGCTGTCACGCATGTAGGTAGACTGAATGGATACTGTCATTTCTTCTCTCGAGCTCAGAGCCACAATTGAGTTCTTTTTTCTCATTAGCTTTACAAAAGGACTCGATAATGGGAAAGCATTTGCTAAATTTGATCTGATACTCTTTATAGAGTCATGCGGACAATTGCATCTGGCGGGTGTCGCCTCTACATCACAGTCGCAGATCAACATGTTTTTGCAGCGTTTGAAGTTGTTACGAGCTTCTTCTGAAGTTGAACACTGCACTGGTAACTTCATCTGCTCTGGAATAGCTAGAGTTTCTCCCTTAGCAAGTGCAAACCTTTTCGTTAGCAATTGGGATGTTGGCTTGGAAAGGGATATCACCGTTATAGAAGTATTCTCAATTTTTTGAGTGATATAGGGATGCAATATCAGAGTCTTTTCGATATCCTTGTTATTGATCGAAATTCGAATGAGAAGTCGTACTATGGGTTTCCACTCCGTACATCTTACAATCTCGTACACGATCTCATTCCTTGGCACATTAGCGATCCGATAGAATGAGCATGAGGGTAGCGGTAACAGACATCCACAAAGAAGACCTCCGCATGATGGTTCACACCCTGAATAACCGGGGTATTCTGTGGCATTACCTAGTTCGTCTATTTGGCTGCTAGGAGTGACTTTCGAGCAGGCATCATGTACGCATGAATCTTTCAGAGCACATCTTTTTGCACTGTAGACGACATACTCTGTGTCCCTTGTGAAAAAAAGCGTTTGTTTAGCGCAATGTAGCTCTACTGGAAGTTTCTCTATTTGGATAGTTCCTATAATCTTACTGTTATGCAAAATGCTTACGCAGATCATTTTATTTATCTCGTTAAAGAGCACTTCTCTATAGAACTCAAATGCGCATTTATTTTTTGAGTCACAGAAAAGTTCTGCATTGTGCCTAGTGTATCCGTGTGGACAAGCGGTTGCGTGCTCTCGCGCGTACTGCAAGCAAAGCATCACTGCGATGGTTGTAATTATGTTTGCGCGACCAAGTGGTTGTGGTTGAAATGCGTGAAGCTGTATGTTGACATTTTCTACTGCGCTTGCGATCAACAACCGATGATTCAGTGCGCTTCCCGGGCGTCGAACTCTCGTTGTTCTTGGGACCGACACTGCTGTTTGCCACAGGTTGAATATCACGCTCCTTTCTCTTTATTTGCGCTATCTTGACAGCCATTGCGATGATGGAAACCACCACATATATGAACAAAGCAACTGAGAGGATCGCACCAAGTGGCCAACAGTGAGGGTTTCCAATGAGAGCTTTCGAAAGGATTGTCTGTGATGTATCACATACGTGAGGTAGTGGACAAGGGATTATGATGCTCTTAAGAGTGGCTTCTTGATAGTACCTCATGGCGACATTTACGCTAGTATTTTGCGCTGTTGATGGGAGGAAGAAGACTAATTCTCCAGAGATGTTGTTGAAGGACTTACACGCTGACCGTATGCAGAGTTCGAACCTGTTCTCTGGAGGTTTTACCCAAAGGGAACCATTCTTGCATGCGATTGAGGGTGTAGCCTTTACTGGTGGGCTGATGATGATAGTCATGATCGTTGTAATCATCACGAGGGTGGTGTGTGTGATGGGTGTTCGCACCTGACTATTTGCAGAGATTTCATTTAGGCTTTTGACTGTTGCAGTGATGGCTTCCTTAGCTTTCAGTTTTGCTGCGCGAGTGGGTCCATTGTTTTTGCTGAGACTAGTGTTCGGAGTAGCATCTCGCTCGGAAGAATGACCCGTTATTGAGGCGTCTTCGGGTTTGGATGATATTTCTAATGGGTAAAGCTTATTAAGCGGTCTGTGCCAGATATGTTTGTTTGGCATCAAGAGTTTTACTGACCGAACTAGCCCATCACTGCTTCTCACTAGCTCTACAACTTTGCCATAACACCAGCTTCCTCGAGGCAAATTTTCCTGCTCTACGAGAACGATCTCGTTTATTGCTGGTTCCCTGAGTTTTGTATGCCGTGGTTGTTTCCTATGCATGATTTGAATTTCTCGCAGTGCTGTAAGATATTCAGCGTGCCACTTCTCCCAGAAAGTGGAGGTGATCTTTTCTATGTGATCTAGAGCCTGTTTGACCTGCGAAGCAGACTGTATCAACTCTGGGTCAAAGGAGGGGTCCTGTAACTCTTCATCGTCACGTGACCCTAAGCTATACTTAAGGTTTCGCTCGAGAAAATCGACGGGTCTGATGGGAATTTCGTCAACGTTGGGGCTGGTTGCCGTTAGAGGCCTGGTGTTTACAATTGCCTCAATCTGAGTGACTACTGTGTACAGCTCAGAGTGTGATAATTTTCTTCTACCAATGGACTTTGAAAAAGCGCGCTTGACCGTTCCAACAAGTCGTTCCCATGCTCCACCCATCCATGGCGCACCAGGTGGGTTAAAGATCCATTGTATGCCTCGATTAGCGCTATATGTCATCACTGTATCTCCGTTATTGTGGGGGTCTTCCTTGAACAGCGTATCGAGAACATGTTGGCCAAGCTTAAAGTTTGTGCCACAATCTGTCCGAATTAGCTTGGGGACACCTCGCCGAGAAATGAATCGTATGAATGAGTTCAAAAAGGCTGCTGCGGACATGTCTTCCACGACTTCGAGATGTATGGCTCTGGTCGTGAGGCAGGTGTAGAGGCATATGTATAATTTCGTGTTGTGGGCCGATGTGTAGGGGCCGATAAAATCGCAGCCAGTAGTTTGGAACGGTTTCGTGATAATTACTCGATCTCTGGGCAATGATGGCATTTCAGGGGCTCCGAACGGAAGACCTTGTGACCTCTTGCACACTACACATGGTTTTACGAACTTTGTGAAAGCGCCGGAGGGACGAGGAATCCAAAATCGTTGTCGTGCCAAACATAGGGTGTGGTCCTTTCCACAATGTGCATTCTTCGTGTGGATGTCTGTGAGAATAAGCCTAGTGATCTCAGAATCTTTGTCTAAGAAGATTGGATTCTTAGTGTCATACGCCAAAGATGCATATTGCAGGCGGGACATGTTCCGGATGATGCCGTCTTGATCGCAAAAGATTTTCTTTTGAGGGAATCTTTTTTGAAGGTCTTTAACCGATAAGGATTTGTGAGCCTTGGAAATTAGAAGAAGCTCACTCAGTCGAATGTCCTCAGCGGTTATTTCTTGACCTGTATCGAAATGGTTGACCACCGCCGGGCAGATTTTTTGCTGAGATTCTCGTCTGCAGTTAGTTCGCGTAATCCAGTTGTGGATTGTTTTACATATCCGTGCAGTGGTTCGCACCGCTGTGCTCCAGCGCGAAAATTTCGATAGGTCGACAAAATCAGAGGCTTTGGGTTTTTCCGTTATAGTGGCGTGACTTTCAAGAACAAATTGGTCCATCAGCATTTCCGCGTTATCTTCTGGCTCTGTTGTTGGGATCTCAGGCAGTTTTTTGATCCTCATGGCGTCATAGCTCTCTCTTAACCAGTGAGGCCCTTTTATCCATGGGTGGTCATGGATGTTTTGGATTTGAACTCCACGGGTACCTGCATCAGCAGGATTGTCTTCTGTGGGGACGTAGAGGAAGTTTACCTGGCTATTGTCGGACTCAATCGCCTCTTTGATTTTCATTATACGGCGCTTTTGGTTCTCCACAAAAGTCGGCAGATCCTTCGAGGATTTTAGCCATGAAAGAGCTATATCGCTGTCACTGAGTACGTTTACCGCACTAAACTTCATTTTACTCGCAGTTACTATGGCTTGTGCAAGGCGTATGGCCATGAGAAGAGCCAATGTTTCGAGACGCGGAATTGTTTGTTTCGTCTTTTTTGGAGTGAGACGCGTCTTTCCACTAATAAGTGGGGTTACTTTCCTACGATTTTCGTCGCGAATGAATGCGCAGGCTGCCAAAGCCTTTGCGCTTGCGTCTGCAAAAATCCACAGAGTGGCGTTCTCCGTGAAGACATCTACGTAGCGTGGGATCGAAATCGAGGTATTGTTGAGCATCTCACACGTCTCTGTCCATTTTGTTGCCAAATGGTCGGCTATGGGAGCTTTCCATTCGACTCCAGTTTCGTAGATCTCGCGCATAAGATGTTTAAGCGTGATTATTAATGGACTCGCGATACCGATAG